CGCAGAGCATTGAAGCAAAACAAAAATTTGAATAGGAATGTAAGTCTAATAGTGTTTTAGAGAAGGCAGGGCAAAAAAAGTAAAGAAAAATAAGTGTCTATCAAGAAGCAGAAAAAAAGGGGGGACAAAGAGGGTTAACACCCATTTATGTTAATGAACTCAAGTGGCTGAGAATACATGGCTTTTAAATAATTTTAAACAATAAACTTCTACTAAGATTACATAGACACAGAAACAGGAGGAACTGTAAAGTGCAGGCCTAATATAATGAGACCCAGGAAAAGAGAAGCTCGAGGGGGTTTTGTGAAAATATGTAAATTCAAACCAGCCAGCTTGAAGCCTCTAAAAACTTTGTTTTTTCTTGATGTTGCAGAAGTTTCCAGCTGAGCGTGTTGATGTGAGCATATTCATAACCCTGCTCTACCTCACTCCATGGGTGCAAGGGTGGGTTTCTAGAAGGGGAGAGATCATTTTGGCTACTTGTTCCTAACCTGGGTTGGGATCAGAATGGTATGGCCACCTTGATTACTCTCCTTGCCTCTTGCTATCACCAGGGCTGATTGAGACCAGCTGGAGGCCTCTATTATTTTTAAAGAGGCCACCATAACCCAGTGAAGGTAGCAGAGGGGTTCCTTGTGCAAGGACGCTTAGCTGACGGGACAAGGTGCAGCCCATGCTCAGCTGGCTAAACCATGTGCTCTGACATAGAGGAAGGGGTGCTTTTCTTTAGTTTACATAAAACATCACCCATGCCAGTGGTGGCTTGTCCTGACCTGAAGAATGATATTCTCAGCCAGTTGCATTTTCTGTATATAACAACATATGTTCCCCAGTATAGAGTTGAAGGGGAACTGTGGGAAGGGTGAGTGCAGAGAAGGGCAGAGAATTTAACAGGCTGACTTGGGCTAGTCTCTCAGTTTGTTAGAGGCTGAAGTTAAATCAGTGGATGCTTGATCTCAAATCTAATGCTCTTTCACTGTGCCTCCCACTAGCACAGTGGTTCTCAACCTTGGCTGCACATTAGAATCACCTGAGAATCTTTTTAAAATCCTGATTTCTGGGCCCCATCCTCTGGAAATTCTGTTTCTTTGTTACTAATGTTGTGGCCCCACCCCATAACAAAGAAACAGAATTTCTGGAGGATGAGGCCCAGAAATCAGGATTTTACAAAGATTCCCAGGTGATTCTAATGTGCAGCCAAAGTTGAGAACCACTGCCTAGCACCTTTCCCTCTCCAGACTCCCATCATGGAAATTTCCAGCAAGCACACCTAAGACTCAGAGGGGCTGCCAGAACAGCAATCCTCACTTGGCAGGTAATAGCTTGTCTGGTCCTTCTCGGAAACACAGTACCAGGCAGGTAGAACTTATTTGGGACGTCCTCACTGAACATCTGACCCAGTCTGCCTGAAATTCTGTCTCGACCCTTGCTTAGCCACTTTAGGCTTTGTCATTGCAGAGGGTGGGGAAGAGAGGCAAAGGGAGGTAGGAGGGCAGGGATTGGATGGGTTTGCAAAACATTAATAAGTGTAATCTGTGCCTTTCCCCTGACCCAGCTTGGGCAGCTGCACTGGTCTGAAATTCCACATTCCATTGTTCTTCTAAGAAAACAAAACTGGCTCTATTTAGCCCTAGGAATTGTCTGTGGAGACTTGTTGAAGAGAATTTGCAAACCAGATGGATTTACTGTTTATTGTGTGTAGTTTAAGAGAAAAGTATTATTTCGGGAGGTCATCAGCCACATGTTCTGAAAGGTTTCCCAACCACTGTTCACATTCGAGTCACTATGCTGGGTTCATGTAGTTTTCTCATTTCTTATTTACCTGTATGCTCACTTCTTGCACCCCAGCCTTAGTAGTCAGCTATTGGGTTTACTATTCATTTCCCTTCTCTCTGCTTCTTTATGAATCTCTGTGGTTACAATGATGCAATGATGGGGCACTGGTGGCTACTGCACAATTCCATCCATGCCACTGTCCTAGTCACAGGTAATTGCACCAGGAATGTGCATCCCACTCCAGCAAGCTTCTGTGAATTAGACCTGGGACAGTGAGAGGGGTCCAGTCTTTCCTTGGGCTCCTGGCTCTGCATGGTATAACCTTGGAAGGTGCTCCTTCCATGTTTCCTATCACTGGACAGGAGGGCAGATTCAGAAGCTAGAATAAATACAGGGAGAAGAATAAGACACCTTTCAAAGAGAAGCAGATGAAAGCTGGAGATGGAAGCCTGTCTCTGTTCCAGATCTAGTTGAGATCCGATTATATTCCTTCCTTTGGGCTTGAGGACATTCCCTTATATCCGTGTGATAAATAGCTCCTTTTTTTTTTTTTTGCACAAATTACCTCCAGTTGGATTTTATTAACTGCAATTAAGAGTCCTTTCTGATACTTTAGCAAAATATTCCTCAAAGTGAAATCCCTGGACCAGCATCTTCACTGGGGGACTTGTTAGGAATGCAAATTCCCAGACTTCATCCCAGACCTACTGAATCAGAAAATCTGGGGGTGAGGCCCAGCAGGCTAGATTTTAACAGTCCCTGCAGGTATTGTCAAGTTTGAGAACCACTTACCTAGCCATCTCTTGGTAGTGGGTGGCAAGAGCGTGGGTGGCTTGACATTGAGTCCTGGATCCATGAACTAGTGATGTGACTCTGGGAAGCTTACCCCGCCTCTTGGAGATCCAGTTTTCTCAGTGGTAAAATGGAGGATAGTTACATTTATATTCTATAACAGGTGAAAAAAAAAAAAAAGCACACCCCTCTCAACCCTTGAGAAGAATCTGTTTTGTTTTTATCTCCATGGACCCTGTTCTGACATAAGAAGAGAAGTAGCATTGAACTTGGTCGTTCACCATGGAGACACAACCTGAGCTTTTAAAGAACAGCCCTTTGCCTACATAGAACAGGTTACTGTTCAGAGCTCATATGAATCTGTCCACCTAGAACTTAGTACTGGGGTCAGGGTCCCCTATGGCATAGGGCCAGTGCTGTCAATGAGCAGTTGGAAATTAAACCCATTTAATCTGAAACTCATTTTGACCCTCTGGGTTTCACTGACCTGTTTTTCTGCTGGTTTGTAAAACCATGCAATATGGATCATCCTAGAATAAAGACAAGGAAATCCACAAGTTTATATTTGAGGAAGGAAAGCACAGGCTTCCATTCCTTAATTTATTCATTCACTCATTCATTCACAAACTCATTTATTCATCCATCTAAGACTCATGGAGTTATTTCTTGGTCTAGACAATGTGCTAGATGCTAGGGATTTATAGGTAAGGCCCTTGTGTCTTCTCCCTCCCCCGTCAATTGTTGACAGATAAGAGTATCTGCATGGAGGTGGGAAATGGACAGGGCATGAGGGAATTAGAGTCAGGAACTATATCTTGCTGAAACAAAGGGTGGGTGTTAGGAAGTACTAAGGCATGAAAGTTAAAGCTGGTAGAGAATGAAAAAGTGAGGAGTCAACATCTGCTTTGGTTTCAACAGCATACTGTTCTGTAATTAACAGCAGCGGATGTTTTGCAAAGACCTCCCAGTTCTTTGGGCCACATTTGAGCCAATTCCAGATGGATGACCCTATAGTAGGTAGATTCATCGGCCAAATATCATTCATGCTGTTCTTATTCTACAGGGGGTGGGCTGGTTAGCCCTCATTAAAAAAGAATTCTGTGTCTGCTACTACTTGACAGCTAAGTCAATTCAATTCCAAGTGAACTCCTTCTGGTATCCAGAAAGTCTGGCTATTTTTTTGGATGAATCTCCACCCAGTTCTTGGCTTTCATATCACTAAAACTTCCAGTGATATGTAAGATGGGGCAAAAACATGGAACCTCTTTGCAGACAGCTCTTCAGCAAATACATGCAATTGGATGCTTCCTCAGACACAGCCTTTAGGGAAGTCAGGGACTAGTATTTCACACACAGAAGAGCTATGGATGGTCTGGGAGAGAAGACGGCTACTCAGTGCTTGAGTCTTAAACCCCGCCTGATATTTGAAGAGTGGTTTTTCTGTTTGCGTCAATTTTAAAAAATGGCTTAATGAGAGTCATATTGTGTCTTTTTTATTCCCAGACTTTAGATATTAAACAAAACCCAAACCAGAAATAATGACTAGCATGTCATATGGGGTTGATGACATTCTCAACCTCATTTGACCCTTGCCACTACCCTAGAGGAGGAGTTAATAGCATTTTGTTCCTACTTAATAGATGACAAGGTGAAGTTTATTTAATCAAAGTGCCTGAGCTTGTTCTTAATCCCAGTCCCTTGACTCTAGATTTTATACTCACTCTACTGCACCAGGCTGTTCCCAAGGAAAACCACTGTTGCCAGTACATGGGATGACAAAGAACTTGCTGGGGGAACTCAGAAATATGGAAACAAGATTATCCTCTGAGAGTTCAAGTTTAAGATAGGCACAAGAGGATTAGTGAGGAGACAGGATGGCTCCCAGGACTGGGAGCGTCAGCTGATCTTAATCCAACCATAGATTTCAAATATATTTGAAGAAGGAAGGACAGCAGAGTCACAGAGGGAAATGTTGGCATTCTGTCCATGCTGTGTGCTAGGAATCACATGGGGTTATCTTAATTGGGTGCTATTAGATAGTTTATGCAGCTAGTTCCCCTTGCGCTGATACCCAGCTCACTGGACAGCCTTCGGCGTGTGTGATAGGACATCCCAGCAGTGTGGTTGCAGGCAGGGAACGAATGTACTAGTTGTGCCGATGTGTGGGTTCCACTTCCCTGTGATTGTACCTTCTCATTCTCACCGCATAGCAACATATAAGGAATCTGGTTCCAGGAAAGAAGGATCAGCTGCTGGGGGCTGACAAAACCAGATTTCTGAGCCTGTGACATTGCAGGATAAATAGAAAATGTGGGCAAATTCAGTACGGAAGTCAATAAAAATGCTCCCCCGGGAGGCCTCTTAGAAGCCTGAACTGCCTGCTGCCTTCCCCAGTAGTGCATCTTCTGTGCCTCCCAGACCCAAGCCTTAATCGCGGGGCCCATGGCTGTGCTTACATCTCGGCCTTGTTCTTTAACTGAAGGCCAGTGGTGCCTGCACATTCAGGTCTTATGTCAATCCCTGCCCAAGTCATTGGCTGATCATCTAGTCAATTCAAGACCAGGTCCCAGGAACTTTGAGGAAGGTAGGATGAGCGAGACAGGATCCCTCCAATTCCAGTGCCTCATCTTGTAGGAGAGATGGATTTGTGCATAAGTAACTTTAATAGTTTCAGTGGTTTCCTGTATTCCTCAAATTCATTAGCTAATATACAAAATATCATATATATGACGCCATTTGTGTACTTGTTTTTCACAACTAACCTGCGAACAGATGCAGACATGGATGCTCAGCAAACAAAGGGGTTTGCTACATGTCGCAGAGCTATCACGTGACAGAATGCAGATTCAACCCCAAGATAAGCTGCGGGAAAGGCTGTCATTGGAGGTTCATATGGGTGGGAGTTTCGGGCATGGGCCAAGTTCTTCTGGTAATTTCCACTCACTACTCCAGTTCTTTCCTGGGAGCTCATCAAAATGAGGGCCCCTAGGCAGCTGGAGGAGCACCATCATCTCCTTCGTTGGGTGTAGCAGAGATTTGGACAAGCAATCAGATCCCAGTCTGGAGTTCTAGTCTAATATGAATTAACAAAGAGAGTCTAAGAACTATTTTCAGTAGCAAAAATTACAATGGAAATTATATATTTATCTTAGATAATGCTGTGCACACTGACTAAACTATTTTGGCTGGACTTTTAACTATTCAGTCTACTTATACTGGTAATCTCATGCTTTTCAGGAGCTCTGGGTATCTGGTAAGTATCAGTTCATTGAACTTCAATAAACATACCTCAGGTAACTACCTGCTATGTGTAGGGCACTGACCTGTGGTCTAGGCATAAAGAGAGACAAAGAAGACATTATTCCTACTTCAAGAAACTTGCAGCCCAGGGAGGGAAGCATATCTTAAAACATTGTAATAACATTATCTTCTCATTGTGAACAATTCAAAGAGTAGAGAAGCATTTATTGTTCAGGTGCTGGAGAGCCATTGAAGGAATTATACTGGGGCCTCACGCAGTAGGATTGGCATTTGGAAAGACCCTCCTGGCTGCAGTGTGGAGGCTGGCCTAGGGCTGGGCTGGCTGGAGGCGGGAAGCCTGGGGGACCAGCAAGGAGGCCCTGGTGGGATTGCCCCAGCGATGAGGGGGCCTGAACTAGGGCAGAGGCTGCTGAGGTGGATTTTAGAGATCTTTGGGAGAGAAGTATGTGTTGGGTGGCTGAAGAGTAGGGAAAATAAAACAACTTTGGCTTAAGAAATGGGCCTTGGTTGACAAACCTTTTCACAAGCTAGTCTCTTGGAAGGAGAGAGTGCAGCTAACCAAACAACCTCCCTCCTGGGCAAGGGCTCCCACCAGGTGAACAGTTTGCCATGTTTCCGATTCCAGGAACTGGCTGGAATAACACTTATGCAATGGGAACACACAAGGCCCACATCCAGGAGGCTGGCTGGTGGAGAACTTGGCAAGTCCGGGTCCTCTGTGGGGTGGAAAGTCCTGCTGATCTACTTCAAGTGAACTGCCCTTGGATGTCTGACTTCAGGGGAACTTCAGGGGAAATCAGAGCTGGCTGTGTGATGGCTGCGTGGGTAACTGTGTGGGTAGCTATGTGGCCCTGGACCACTGGCAACGAGGAGCTGGGAGGCATGCAGGGAGGGGTGTGATCATGGTTCATGGTCACTTCTATGGTAAAATAAACATAGAGGGCGCCGTACAGGAGGAAACCCTGTTCTCTTTCCTATGTAGCAAATAAAGTGAGGGCCTAGGAGCCAAAATAACCTGCTCCATCACTGCAGCACTGTGTGAGCCTGGGCAAATCACTAACTTCCTTGCTCCTCAGTGTTCTTGCATGTGAAATGAGGATATGCATAGTAGTCATCTTCTAGGGTTGTTGCAAGAATAAGAGAAAAAAATCAGTGAAAATTGCTAAGACTGTGTCCAGGACCTTGGAGAAAGAAAATAAATGATAGTTAGTGCTGGAAGGGTCAGCTCCCTGGAGGCTGGGGTTTGGGATGGGGGAAGGGGGGGCGAGGCAGAGGCCATCTGTCAAATCAAGGGACAAGTAAAGAGTACTTATCAATAAAGGCAGACTAACATTATGCATCTGGGGTGAGTAGGCTCCTAAGTATTTGTTGGCAAACCAAATGCATGGAAATCGAATCCTTCTCAGAGCCTGCAGGAGGTTTCTTAAGCACAGGTCTCCTAATGGGAGTCCTCTCTTGAAACTGATTTTGCTGCTGCTGATAGTACATTGTTCCTGTTTCATCTGGAGCTCTTAGAGGAAAGAGTTTATCTGTGTGACTTCAGCACCTCTTTCTTCTTTATTAAACCCAATGGTTTGTAGAATCACGTATTTACGTAGTGTTCCTTAAGCAATCCAGAAGTGTGAGTTAGGGTTGGATTCACATCCCTGTTTTATTGGCGTGGAAACTGACGCTCAGAGGAATCATGAAGTCTGGCTATACTCACTGAGCCGGGAAGAGGTGCATATAGAATCCTAAACGATGTCTTTGGACTCTCAGCCTGGTGTTTGCTCTTCTCAGCTGTTAGTCTTTCCAGGGACTCTCTCCTGCATTCGTGTAAAAGGCGTGGCACGGAAGACCCTCGGAAAGTGGGCAGGAGAGGAGATTGCACCATTTGGCATGGATGTTTCGTGACTGATGGCAAGTATGTGGGACAAATACTTAGATGAGGAGACTCCCTTTCCTTGCTAGCCACCCTGGCTAAGTGTGTGGGAGGGAATTCTGGGCCGTCATTAGAATATTAATAACACATTCTTCAGGGAACAGCCTAAAAGTCCTCCCACCCAACTCATCACCAAGTAAGGGTTCTAGCAAGGGTTAGTGAGAAAATTCCGCCCAAACCTCCTCTGCTAGCCTCTCCTGGCCTGGGTGCCTCTCCTTTAGTGACTCACACTCCTGGGGAGGAGCACCCGGGAGCCTGACTACTCACCTGCTCCATCCAGAGGCAGGACTCATACCCTTCAGGTAGTGCTCAATGCTAATGGTCATGATCAATGAGTGGTTTTCAAATTTGTGACAAGTGATGGGAAATTTACTCCTATTTTATTTTACAAGACCTAAAAGCATTGGAAATAGTTTCCCCATTGCCCCTCAGAACAAGGATGCTCTAGCTTTGAATTCTGGTGCTCCTGTCTCATGGGAGTGGGGTACTTGATAATGGGGGATGGAGAAGGTTCTTGGAGAAGGTGACATTTGAGCTGAGATGTGAGTGAAGGAGCTAGCATGTAAAGAGATGGGGGAAGCACATTGGAGAAGAATGGAACACTGGGTACCCAGGCCTCGAGGCAGGAATAACTTTGGAGTGTTCAACGAACAGAAAGAAAGTGAGTGTGGCTGGAACCCAGCACATGGCGAGCAAGCGAGGAATGGAGTGGGAGCTAATGAGGCTGGAGAGGCAGACACTGCAGGACTCTCGGTTTCTCATTGGTAAGGGCAGATTATCTCCCTCCCACTAAGTTCCAGACAGCTGGAAGACCTTTGCAAACTGAGACAGCAAGCCACAGCTAGGTCAGATTGTCTGGATACTGTTGTCCAAGGACTAGTGGAATACTCCAGTACAAGGCTCGCTGTGGGCTGCCCTGTTTTCCTGATTTTCCTATCACCTGACAGGCAAGTGAGCCAACAGCAAAACCGAAAGCTTCTGGTTTGGCAAGAGCGCCCTGCTTGTGGCCATCTTATAATTAGCATGCGGGTATGGAGTGAGGTATGCAGGCAGGAATGTGATCACTGCCGTCTCCAGCACCATCATTTTAGGATTGCAAGAGCCTGGGGAAGGGCTGAGAGAATTGAACCTGACTAACACCAGACCCTTCTGAGTGGTCCATTCCTCATACTGTCTGCAGGTGGGTAGTCTTCCCTCTTTCAGAATTCTGTGACACAATGTGTCCTCTGGCCAAGGCAAAGCTCACTTAGCTTTGTACAATTTTTCGAAACACATAAGGCTCTTTTTCCGACAATCAAGTCCAAGGAAGGTGGAGAGGAAGACAACCTTGTAAGGCTGACTAGGGACTGAATGATTCCAGATTAAAAAATACTATTGGTGCCCAGTCAGTGTGGCTCAGTCAACCTATGAACCAGGAATCATGGTTCAGTTCCAGGTCAGGGCACTCCTCTCTGAAATAAAAATATATTTTTAAAAATACCATTGGCTTGCTTTCCTCTTATCCATGGAGCTTATAGGCAGGCAATTGCATTTGAGCTCTGGTTCCTGGGCTAGTTCAAATACCTCAAAAATTAAAGGCACTTTTCAGAAACATGCTAGAGTATCTCCCCTGCAGTGTTTCTGAGCCTAGCTAAGTCCCAAGTGCTACTTAAAGGGGAATCCCACTGTTTGTTTCCTTCTCATGGACATCTTCTGAGCCACCTGGCATGGCCCTTTCTGTGTTCTTGGTCCACATTGCTTTCAGTGGACCTGCCTTGCCCTTGAACCCTGGTAATCAGCTTTATTTATTCTGCTTCCTCTCAACAATGAATTCCAGTACCTTGTAGTTTGACTTGTCTCTGGGACTCCATCAACCTTGGTGTTCACCTCCCTTGAGGCCCCATAAGCAAGAACTAACAGGCAAAAGTACCCGGTTGGTCACTGGTCTGCCCCATGACCCATTCAGTGCATACTCCAGGGTGTGGTATCTTCCTCTAGCTCTAAAGGAATGCATTCACTCAACATGCACACACACATTATTCAGCACTGTACTGGGTTAGGATTACAAAGGCTTGTTATAACAGAGAGGAATAGGCTGGAGTTAGAGATTTCTGATTTCAAAGTAAAACTGAACTAACTAGTTATGTGACCTTGGAAAAATTCCTTGACTTTTTGAGCCTCAGTTGTCTCATCTGTATAATGGAGATAATCACTACCTTACATGCTGATGGGTAGCTTAGAAATTCAGTGGGATAAAGTACTTAACATACTTGGCATTCAGGAGATGCTGAATGAAAGATAGCTATGCGAAAACACAAGCATATCCACAGACACACTGGTATATTTTGAAAAGAAAAAACAAAACAAAACAAAGAATTAGCCTCAAATCTTGAGAAATTACCTAATGTTTCTCCCACTTTCCCTCCTCCCCCCACCATCTTCTCCCTTCTCCCTATCTACAAGCATGTAACATGTGTTTATCAAATGAGATAGCCAATATGGAATTGTTAATCCACTTGTAAACAAGCTTTCTAAACGGGCTCCAGTGTGCTGCTCTGTTAGAGCTGCTACAAAAGAGCACTGCACATGCCCATGGTGATGTGCTTGTGTCTGTCTGATAAAACTGAGCACTATGTGTGTGACACTAGGGAGGGTCCTTTTACAGGTATTCTCCTGTTTGCATTTATTTTTAAATTGTGGCAAAACTTAACATCTTCACTATTTCTAGGTGCAAGTTCAGTAGTGTTAAGCATATTCACATGTCGTGCAACCAATCTCCAGACCTTTTTCACCTTGGAAAACTGAAACTCTATCCACCCATTAAACACCTCTGGCTTTCCCCCTCCTCCATCCCCTGGCAGCCACCATTCCACTTTCTGTTCCTATGAATTTGATTGCTCAAGATACCTCATCTAAGTGAAATCATGCAGTATTTGTATTTTTGACTGGCTTATGTAACCTTCACAACCAACCTATGAAATATGCTTTATTATTATTTCTATCTGATAAAGAGGAAATGAAATCTCAAGGACATAAGATACCACATACAGGCAGGAGCCAACTCATGTTCAGGTTGTAGTCTACAGGTATACATGCATGAGTATATACTAAACATTTGTGCAGAAAAATAGATAAGCATACATGTATGCAAACATTGAACTCTCTCTTTACATATAAATATTCACTTATTTATAAATATATCACTATGTGTGGCAGCATCTTAAAGAGGAAAGACTTGTTTGGCTCCAAATCTGTCTTGCATGATGGTTGTGAACTTAGAAATAAGGAATATAAAATCACCCCTGGTTACTGCCACATTTTGCAAGTTCATCTGGGGAAATCTCTGTAGTGAATGGAAAGAAGGCAGACATGGGAGCATCAACATCCACTAGCTGGGGAGCTCAGGTTCCCTGTCAGTCCTCTTTCAGATGATAATCCTTACTCCCTAGGGTGGCTGGGAGGGTCCTGGGAACAGGCATGTGTGAGGGTCCAGTCCTGGTTCTTCCCTATCCCCACCTCCACACCAAACCCATCTCAGGTTAGCTCCTTCCTGCCACATCTCTGTGTGCTGGGGCTAAGGAAGAATTGTTTTAACCTTCCTTTCCTTTTCCTCTCTCCCTCCTTCCTTCCCCTTCCCCCCCAACTTTTCTCCTTCTCCTCTTTCTATCTTTCCTTCCCTCTCACCCAAATTGTCTCACCTCTTGTGTCCATTTCACTAAGAAAATTCCACCTTCAGGCAGACTGCAGAACTCCCACTGCTGCCAGGGAGATTTCTGGGCCTTTAATGAGGAGAGAATTTGATCCTAAGACTCCTGTTAAGATAAAGACCTGGCTGGTTTATTAACTCTATCCAGCTGGGTACAAACTCACAGAGAAATAATTAAACACTCCCAGCCTAAGAAAGGCCAGGGTCTCAGAGAAAATCTGGCCTGGATCTTGCAAGAAAGGGAAGAAGGGTCTCAGAAATCATCTCTTTAGAGACTAAATCTGTCTTGTTTTGTTTTGTTTTGTTTGTTTTCCTTTAAGAAAGAACTCTCTTCCTTTGTCTTCCACATACCTGGACTTTATTCTGAAGTGCATCTTAGAATATCAGAGTTCATTTATTCATTCAACTGTCAACAAAAGGTTGCTGCCACCAATCCAATGCCAACAGGAGTTCCCCATTCTGGGGTGCAGTAAAAAGAGGCTTTATTCAGGTGAACAGTTTGCAAACTGGGGACATGCAGTCAGTGCATTCCTTCAAGATAAATGGGAGGCCTGATTATGTAGAGAAAGTGCCTGGTCCCCTATTAGTCTATTTTTAAGCAAATAAAGAATCCAAATTTGCACAGTTTGATTGGTCTGCATATCACTGTCTTGATTGCTCAGAATTTTGTATCCTCATTGGCTGTTTTGGAGCCACTCTGATTGATCAGTAAAGATGCAAATGGGGGTATATAGCTGTGCAGTTCTGTTTGGCTGGGGCAAGTCTCAGCCCATTCATTGGTCAAAATATGATTCCAGGGACTCCTTTATAAGGGTTGGATCAGATGGCAGCAACATAGTGCAGGAGGCTTGACAGCCTTATCTGTGGCTTTTCCCTGAAATGCAGCATGTGTAGGAGGCCCCTTGTAAATAACAGCTGCTAGACTCTGATTATGAATTCGGGCCCAATTAACCTCAATAAGTTCTTTTTAACAGGTATATTCCTTTTGGGGGTCAACATAACAAATATTTGTTGAATACCTACTATGTGCCAGACATTTTGCTAAGTTTAGGATGAGAATGGGGTGCTTGGAAGACATCTAGCTCATTAATAACCATTTTTATAGAAAGAGACCAAGGCCCAGAGTAAAGAAACTAATCTAGGATAAAAGAGTCAGTGAGGACTTGGTCCTATTCTCACTGCCATAAAATGCTCCCTCATGCCAAGCAACTCTGACCCCCTTCCTGTCTCCTCTAGCTCCCTGAGCTCTCCTGGGAGTTTGGTCTCTCCTTTTTGTAGTTAGCACCTCAGAGTTTTAGCTGTGATAGTACAAGTCCTCTGCAGGTGAAACAATGCCTATCCCCTCATGGCTGGTTCCTTAGCCACTATTGCAGGTAAACTATTCATTAAAATACATAAAATTCAATGAATAACAGAGGGTAAGGGGTAACTTTATTCAACAGGAAGAATTTAAATTGTCTTAGAAGGAAGAACCATGTTCAAGAGAGAGAGATTAAGGATTAGATAGGGGCATGTGGTATGTGTATATACCATCCAGGAAGGAGGTGATAGTTTAAGGAGATACTGATAAAGCCTGGTCTGTTTGCAGAATGGGAATTAAAGGCCTGGACTTGAAGGAGTATTCAGGAGGCAGGCAAGTGGGGAGGAAGGCAGAAGGGGATGGCCTTGGGGTTGTTGCGGGGTGGTAGAGTTCAAATTGCTGTTCTATTAATTTGCTAGCTGTGTGACTTTGGGCAAGTCACTAATCTCAGTTTGTTTGCTCTTCTGTAAAATGATATAACTATTGCAAGAGGGTTGCAAGCATTAAGTGCAGCTATGCAGTTCAATAGCACATGGCCCATTCCCAGATGGCTTGAGGTGTGCAGGATAAATTGGTATCGTCTTTACACAGTGGAAAGAGCTGTTCTGTGGGTCTGTAGTGCAAAGTCTTTAAGACAGCGGAGGGTTAACCACGAAGCATAAAGTGAGAGATTGAAGAATTTGAATAGTGTCTCCAAGCCAGAAGATGTTGGAGGTTTGTGAGAAGTGAGCAAATACTTGTTTTGTTTGCTTTTGTCTGTCTGTTTTTAGAAAATTGTGGTGAGGATATGTAATAAATAGGAGTCTAAATGCAGATCAGGGAGGTGTTTGCTTAAAGGACTGAAGTAAAAAGAGAAATCTCCTAGAATGATGTGGGAATTATTGGAGGGAAAAGGTAGAAATGAATTATAAAAGAACAATAATAGTAATTAACATTCCTTGAGTACTTGCTATGTACTAGGTACTGTTCTAAGCACTTCAAACTTTTAGTACATTTAATGTATCAAGTATATTAACCTGTCCTATATTCATTACACATCTCAGGTGAAAATTGTTCTTAACACCATTCAACGGTAGGGAAACTGAGGCACTGAGAGGTTAAAGTACAAAGAAGGCATGTCTCTTTCTCAGAGCACTTTTGGAATGGACTTTTACAAATTCTCTAAAAAGCAATACCACCTTATAGAAAATTCAACAAAGATATGAATTCTCTATCTCTTTCATATCCTGTGTGAGTAAGTTGATGCTTCCTTTTAGAGTGTCTTAGACTATTTTAGCCACGACTTACATGTAATTGTAATAATGTGCATTTATGGATATCCTGAGTGTATTGCCCCTTGCCTTTATGATGATAATTTTAAATGGTGGGTTAGCCGAAACCGGTTTGGCTCAGTGGATAGAGCGTCGGCCTGTGGACTGAAAGGTCCCAGGTTCGATTCCGGTCAAGGGCATGTACCTGGGTTGCGGGCACATCTCCAGTGTTTCTCTCTCATCGATGTTTCTCTCTCATCGATGTTTCTGACTATCTCTCTCCCTTTCTCTCTGTAAAAAATCAATAAAATATATTAAAAAAAATAAACGGTGGTTTAATATTTTATTGAATGAATACACCAGAGCTATTTTTTTTTTTTTTTGCTCATATGAACATCTTGGGACATAAGTGTTTGACAGTACCTCTTATTATGCTTTAAATTTCCTGATGTTGAATTACTGAATGAGAAAGAGTGGCCAATTTCATGGATCTTAACTCATACTGGCAATTTGCTTTTCGCACAGGGGTGAACATATTCACAATGTCCTTGACAATATAGGAGGCTATCAATTTCTGTTACTTGCCAGCCTTGAGTATCATTATCATTATTGGTAGATTCATTGGGGAAAATATGGTCAACCACTTTAATTTAAATTTGCATGTCTTCAGTTATTTTTGGGGTTGACCATTTTTCCTCACAAGAGATTGATACTTGTGGTTCCATTTTAATGATATATTTGTGTGTGTGTGTGTGTGAAGATTATTTTTTTCAAAGCACAATTTTGCATGTGAATGAGTGAGGAGAGGGGAACTGGGAGTTTCTGAGCCCAGCAAACTTGGAGATAGGCTGGGCCTATTCCCAATGGAATATTTGCAACCAGTTGCAATGCTGTTGGGGAAAAGGTGAGGCTTCAGGCTAATATCTTCTTTCCCCCTCTTATTATACAAATAAAATGTGTTCATTTCAGAAAAAAGATAATTGAAAAGGAAAATCATCTTCTCATCATTCAGAGATAAGTCCTTTATAATTTTATTATATGTGCTTACAAAGTCTCTGATATATATATATATATATATATATATATATGACATGTATACTACACACACACACCCCCCTCTGTACAATAGCAACTACTTTGAGCTTTTATCCTCCCATCAAGGTGTTTCTATCCCTTCCTATCTATCCCTCTTCTTTCTCTCTCTCATAATTAAAATGCCTTTGATCTAGTAGTTGTTTGCATTCTCTATTCAGACTCACTTAAGAGGTCTGAGACCTGGGGTCACAACTTTAAGGTCCTAGGGGAATTCTGTCTGTGACTCTGAATCAAGTGACACAGTTGACTGCAGTTATTTCTGTGTTTTTTTTTAAACAAACCTGATTCCATTAGCGGCCATGTCCTTTTAACCGGCAGAGGACAGCTTGACTCGATTTGGAAGTAGAAACATGGGCTACATCTTTTGTGTGCGCTACGCACATGATCACTTTGGTGCAACTTTATGTCCATGTTGGGCTGACCTCATTATTTCTGTGTTTAAGAATTGAAATTTCAAGGGAAGATTTCTTCACAGACCCATTTTATTATGAAAGAGGAGTTCCATTCTGTTCTGAAAAAAGTGCGAAAGTGAACCCCATGGATAACCAGAGGAAGCACATTCCGGGCAGAGGGAACAGCATCTGTGTGAGCTCAGCAGTGGGAATGTGCTTGCTGGAGGCACAGGAAGGAGGGCATGTAGGATAAGCTTTAATGAGAGAGAGTGTGGTGGGAGAAGACCGGAGAGAAGTGCTGACTGTTTAGAGCTGGTAGGACAATGTAAGGACTTATGAGCTTCTACTGAGTGAAATAGGAAATCATGGAAGGATTTGAGTAGAGAACTGATACATGATCAGATTTTATAAAGTATCATCATGGCTGCTGATGAGAAAAGGGTGGAATCTGGAAAACCAGCTGGGAGGTGATGACAGCAATAGTTCAAGCAAGGGGTGACAGGAACGTGCGTCTTGGTGGTAATGGTGTGGGTGGTGAGAAGAGGGGGGACCGCGGAAAGTGGAGCCAGCAGGCTTTGCTGATGGATGGAAGTGGGGTGTGCAAGTACAATATAACTTGAAAGTCTTGTACCCAAGCAACTAGTAAAATGGATTGCCATTTATGAAAGGGGGAAGTCAGGGCAGAGCAGAAATTGAGAGTTTAATGTGGGGCATATTAACTTTGAGATGTCCACTACATGGTCTAGTTGTGATGTCAGGCATGTAATTAAATATTTGGGTCTAGGTTTCGTGAGAGTTCTTGGATAGTGAAACGTTTAAGAGCCATCGGCATATATGTTTAAAACCATGGGTAAGATCATCAATGAATTGATATAGACAGGGAAACAAGAAGTAGCCTTAGGACTAAGCTCTCCAGCATTCAAGATGGCACAGGTGAGGGGGACCCACTGCCAAAGAGGAAATCAAAGGTTGGTAGCTAAGCAATTTGCTTCCCAGTGAGTAGCAGAGATG